CTCTCGCTGTGATGCTGCAGGGAGTCTGCTGTTTTGTGTGCGGAGAGGCATCGGAAGCAATAGTGTGTTGCCCGCTTGTTCTTATTCTCACATGCACGACTGAAGTTTTTTATCCATGTGAAGTGGTTGTCATGTAGAAGCAGGTTGATTGGAGTCTCCTGTCGCTCGCTGAGATACAGTGGGTACAGATTCCCCTCGTAGCCAAACACATTGATTGCAAGACCATTCTGTAACTCCACTTTGGGTACATCACTGAGCGTTGCAGGGAACATCACACCATCGAACCGCAGCTCATCAACATACTGGGTGTACCTGGATACACGCTGTGGGTTGTTGTCGATGGGATGCATCGCTGACAATAACGCCCACATCAAACACCTGTCATCGTTGTTCTTTACGTTAATGATGGCCTTCTTTTTTTCTAATTTGGGCGGGATATCAGCTGCACCACCTACAGAACACCACAAAAATACAACGAAGGTTTTTCTCAGAGTTACACCACATTACAACTACACCCTCTCGACAATCACGAAAGACTGTACATCTAGTACAAAACATCTACAACTTTCCACAAGAAATTCGACAGGCTTCGAACAAACACTGCCGGATGAACAGAAACTCACCTCGAAGAGGAGTGTACTTTGCTGTCGACACATCCAGCTGTCTCACTCGAGAAACGGTCCAGTTGGATCCGTTCTGCACCCACTTATCAATAAGACCAGTGATCCTCGCCACCATCGTCTTGACTGCACTATCAATATCCCCTTCGCTGAGGATCCGAGCCGGTCTACTTCTAAAAAACGGGACGGCAGACGTACTACCCGTGGCCGACTCTCGTGTCATCTCCACCCTCAAAACTAAAACCACCTTGAACGGGTGAGACTGAAGCTCCTCGAGCAGAACCTGTCGGAGCTCGTCATGATGGCTGCTGAAAAAGACGAGAGGATCAGTGCCTGAACCTGGTAAAGAAAACTTTTTCAAAAAACCACGCACGGCACTCGAGGTGGGCTGTCTGGGCTGCCTGGATCGTTTTGCACTTGGCTCCGCCATCGTCACGTAACCTCCAGCACTGCCTACAACATACTGAGGAAATAATCTCCCCGTACAGCGTATATGAGGTCGGCTATCACCCTACAATGACACGTGTACTAGTACACCTTGTGTATACGTCTTTTCCGCAGGGCCACTGAAGGTCGCACGCTCCGCGTGCTTATGCGCGCATGCGCAATATGTCACTGCACATCTACGATGTGCAAATCAGGGAGTAGTACGTATTTTACTACTCCCCGGTGTGAATGCACCGAACGTGCACAAGTGCACGGTCGCCACGGAAAAGAACATGATGACATTTATGGCATGGCAGGGCCAAAGGTCAAACCCTGGGGGGTCCCGAGGCCAGACCAAGCGCGCCCGATACAGTGTGCCTTATTTAACCCAAAGGTCAAAGGTCAAACCCTGGGGGAGTCCCGGGGCCAGACCAAGCACGACCGACACAGTGTGCCTTATTTGGCCCAAAGGTCAAAGGTCAAAAAGTGGGCCAGAACCCGCCCCGCACTTACTACTAGTAGCATTGAAGAAAAATAGTGCCCTCTCTTGAGTAGTGCCCTCTCCTGAACAGTGCCCTATCTGTGATGGACATTGACAAGCATAAGCATCAAGATGAGAACACTCTAACCGCGCGAGAACCACAGGCAGCTTTTCAACAAGGCAGGTAATACTTTGACACGGATCAGAAGAAATGCTCTCCTAATCCAGAGCGAGGTAATACAGCAGAACTATAATCATGGGATGTTGAGTATATTAAAGGCGAGGTAATACAGCAGAAATATACTTATTGTAACTGGGATGTTGAGTATGTCGCTCTGGCCTAGGTGAGCTGTCTTTCCGATCTCTGTCAAAGCATTACCTGCCCTGTTGAAAAGCTGGCTGAGGTTCTCGCGGTTAGCTAAAAGTAAAGAGAAAGCTTCGTAGATGTGCAAGGATACATTTATCGTAAAGAGAAGGACCATGGAACTACAAGTTACGCTATATGGTCCACTAACACCACCAGTTACTAAATAAATCAGCTCGTGAAGCTCAGACTTAGAAAACCGCAACTGGTCGTTCTTCACATGGAAAATAATCAGCTCACCGATACCATTGCCAGAAACTGGCCGACGGTACTGATGTTCTACAACGAACTGACGATCTTAGCACGTCATGTATGCGCACTGGTGGTGTTAGTGGACATTATAGCGTAACTTGATTCTTTTTTCCGTAGATTTGTTGGAGCTATGTGTTAGGCCATTGAATGTCTCAATATCATTGTCCGTTTTGTGCCTTGTTGTCCCACTACCTGACTGTATTTATTATTTTTCATTTATTTCACTCAACTCGTGGTCCATGACCAATTGGCACGCAAAGTGCGAGAGAGGGGTGATAGCCAACCACGGCAAAAAAGAAAAGAAAGGAATATAGAAAAAGAGAAGAAAGAAGGATAGACAAGAATCCAGCAAGGAGATTCTATCATGCTACATTATGCGATCGGAGTGCATTTTTAAAGCGGGAAAGACATTTTTGATGTCTTAACATGCTGGGGAAGTTGCAGCCAAAGGCTAGCTGTAGGACAAAAACAGAGGGAGTTGGTAAATGAGGCTGAATTAGCACGGGGAAGTGAGAGACTATTACGAGTGGACCGGGACAGAGAAAACCAATTGAATACGGAGAGATGAATGGGAATTTTACCTAGGCGAATTCTGTGGATCAAAATGCAAAGCTGCTGTTTGCGATTATCTTTCAGTGGCTCAGTATTGCTGATACAATAGAGCTCAAGACTAGGAAATAAACGCTGCTTGTTTAACAATATTTTAAGAAGAGATTTATGTTGGATTTCAAGTTTGTTCACAAGATGTTGACTTAGACTACACCAAGACTGACATGCATACTGGAAAGTAGGTAATAGATACGAGCGATAAAACATAGAACGGCAGGCATGTATTTGGCAGATGAGAACGATGAGGATATACAGTAGTATGCCGAGAACACTACTGTTTTTTTTGCAAATATAGTCTACATGAGGAGCCCATGTTAGACAGTCGTCAATAATTATACCAAGGTGCTTATGTTCATGGACAATTTCTATGGTCGATGAGCTGCCAGGACATGATAAAGAGGGTGTATAATACGTCGTTACCTTGCTGGACTGTTAGTCTTCACTCGTAACTTATTGGTCCTTTGTATTTGCTATAACTATTGTAGTTATTGCTATTGTTGTGGTAATCCGGGGACTTGGCTTGACGGCGCCGTTCACAAGGACTTCACTGCAGCAGTCCACTGCGTGTATACCAGCAGATGAGAACAGTGTGTTTGGCTTACTCTCCTAGCATGGCCAATCGGCAGGACCGCTGTGACATTTGGCGATGTAGCTGATGCCTGGCGCCGTAAGACAATAGCGGCCATCATGAAGTGCAGGGATATTAGTCTTACAAGATAAGATAAGTCTTGTAAGACTAGCATCTCTGCACTGCATGGTCGCAAAAGAAAACGATTAAAATCGCTTTCTTTCGAATAGCCTAACCCTGTTTTATTGCTCATTATGTAGCATATAGTTTTCCTCGCTGTTCAATTCTTTTGCATGATGTGCATCAAGAGATCCCCTTGACAGGCCCTCGCCTCTGGGAGATTCCTTTAAATAAAGATTATTAAAATAATTACTTTTCCGCGGGTATGATCGCCAGGACATAAGCACAAACGTATACGCTGCTGCCGTTGGTTCCAGATCTGAAGGAAATATTGACAGCCCCTGCTTGGATGACGACTACACTATAGCTCCCTGCTTCGAGTCCTCGCATATGTAGTGGGAATCAGTATTTTTTGCGGACTTGTCCCATTTCAATTCCCCGGAATTGATGGATGTCAATTATTTCCAGTCATGTTCGGATATGGATCATCCCGGGGTCAATTAGTTGTTGGCGGATGATGCTCGGACGATTGGCAGATTCTGCTTGAAAAGCAGTGAAATTGGCAGAATCCTACAAAGCTCATGTAGTGGTAGTACTAGTTATTATTAATTTTTACTTTGGTTTACCTAACAGGGTGCCATGGCCTTCTTACAGGGTGCCATCGTCGGCAATTCACAAAAATCTGCTCCACTTCTTTTGCCTGACATACACGAAGCATACCATAGAAAGCACCGAATTTTGCCGATTTCCTGCCGCCATTACCCGCCAATTCCTGCAATAACTGTTAGAGAGCTGATCTGTTATACATTTGGGATGTGTTCTACATTTGGGATGTGTTCTACATTTGGGATGTGTTCTACATTTGGGATGTGTTCTACATTTGAGATGTGTTCTACATTTGGGATGTGTTCTATTGAAGTTTTACTGTACAGTCGCCTAAGGTCCTCAGTCTGCGTACAGTGCTCTATGTCACGTGGACAGAGCCAGTAACATCTTTACCACCACTGCCACGATTCAGGTTGTGCGTGCTTCCCCTAGCTGCATCTCATGTTTAGCATTAAAGTTGTCTTTGTGAAAAACAAAACAAAACCAAAACCTAATAAACTAATCACACAGCAATGACACAACCAAGCCTTCTTCTGCCGTTACTCAGAGTTTTACGGATCTCGTTGTCTGATGATTGGTTCAGCCATGACACGCAGAGTCTCAACGTAATTTGCCCAGGTTTTCATCGTGTACTTTCGCAGAACCTAAGCCTACTTACTGCCTCTGTAATTCCCTATCCTTGAACTTAGTTACTTTTCTCGCCTCAAATGGGGCAAGGAAGAATTGCACGGGTCACACAATGCAGGATGCACTGTTAATAATTATTTTCACGATATCTAGAATTGTACGTGGGAGGAAGAGGTTACTCTTGGTGGGAGACATCACAAGGTTACACGTATGGTGCCAGTATTGGATGAATGGACTGTAGGGCGAAGTTGTCGGGCCGCCGCTGCCAACAGGGATTTACTTTTCTCTCCTTTCAGCGTCAATTGCTGGCTCAATGTCAGTCACTGGTATGATCGTATTGCGTATTTTCAGGTTAGGTTGTGATCCGGCATGACAGTGATCAAGGCTGTTTGGAGAGTGTTGTGAAGATGTATGGGTAGAGTGATCACGTGAGAGAAGAACACTGTTGTTATGCACTGAACAGAATACAGTGATCGGATAGAAATTTTCATTTGGACATGAGGTCAGCCCGGGAAGGTAGGAAACGATCATCAATGGACCGATCAAGACTGTGATAAGGATAATGGATCGGTGGAAGTAGGCAAACGACATTACCTCAGCTGTGCTAGCAAACCATAGTTGCGGAGATATTCGAAAACAGCTAATCCAAAACTGCTCAATGTCAAATGCGGCTTGCTTTACGTCAGACAAGTAAGTTCTGCTGGTAAAATGGGTATACATGTGCATTAAAGCCTGTGCGAAAGGTTTTGATTCTCGAAAATTGGAAATAGTATTATACTTTTCGATCGTGAGCGAAATTGAAGAACAAATCAGAGAAATAGCTGTTCGTGTCAAGTTCAATTCCACACTTCTGAGTTAGAAATAGCATTGATTCAATCACTGTCTGAGGATGAGAGTTACGATCCCTGGGTTGGTGGTACGTGTTTCAACAATCCTACACAGTTGTCAGCCATGTCGAATCCTACCGTCGTAGTCATGGAAATTCGGTGAAATGAAGCGGAGCCAGCGTCCTCCTTCAGTGCGTACAGAAAATTGCAGTGCTCGTGTTGACTTTAGGCATTTTCACGGCTGCATGGCCAGCGCCCTGGTGCCACTCGACCTCCGACCTGATTTCCATGTCCACGGCAGTATCTGCTCTCAGGCGCAGCCACACGCCCGGGGCAAGAGGCCCTGGAGGCGTACATACCTGTACGCGCCCAGATTGATGTCGTCCATGCCGGCGCTGTTCACGTGCGACATGTTCACCATGGAAACGGGCGGCTGATGTTCGTGCAGAAGCATGTGCACGTCGGTGAAATTGGTCGGCACACAGCACATGGACAGCTGTTTGGGAATGCCCTGCGCCTGCAGTGTGCTGGGCAAGTGATGCAGAATATCATCCTTGAGCAGGGCAAACTTAGTGTAGCCCGTGAACATGGCCGAAGCTGGCTGATTTGTGGACACCCTATGCGATGACAAGCATGAACCGCGGCAATTGCGGAACCTGATCTGCCGAGGCTCGATTACGGACGTCCAGCCCAGGTCGCTGACGTTAATGACGACGTAATCATCGAACTGGCAGAACGGCGTCGAGCGACTGTGGGGCGTGACCGAGATCTCGTCGGGCCGCGGGGACGGAGTGCGTGTGTTCGTCGTCGTCGTGCGATAGGATTCCATTTGCTGTTCGCGCTGCTCTTGCATGAGCCGCTGCTGCTCTCGCTGTTTACGATCCAGCCGCCGCTGCTCCTTGCTCTTCTTCCTCTTCTTCGGCTTTTGCCGTGTGGTGTTGGTGGTGCCCGTCTGTGTTGGTATGGTGGGCTCGTCTTCATGTCCCGTGGGATTAGTCTCACCAGCAGAGCGTCTTGATCGGTGCTCCTCCGCTGTAGCTACTGGCATGGCCGAGAAGGTCTTCAGCTCTTCGGACAGCGTGCGGAAGTCCTGCGCTTTTCGCGTGCCATACGTCAGGAAGGCGGTCCTGGCGATGTTGTGCCCGTTGTGGAAGTGATGCACGCGATAGAGCACAGTAGAGTCGGTTTGCGCAAGCCGCACAGCATGGTCTAGCCAGGTCAGCGTGAAGGCTCTGGCTGTGGGCAACACCCATGTGATATCCAGTACAAGCCAAGAGGACGTGTTGGCTCTATGTCTGCTGTCAAGGGTAGACTGACCTGCTGTTGATTTGCTCAGGTGATGAATCCGCTTGCCAGCGGATAGGTAGCCGCGTCGGTGTGCCCGCACCCACTCCAGCGGCAGCCATACTTCAGAAAAGCAGCTCCTTTCCTCGTCGCTTGCCGCACCACTGACGACGAGTTCCAGGCGAGAGTAGTCTGTGCCACAGAGAGAAGAACACAGTTGAACAGAAGTCCGTTACGATATGAGCTATAACACCCAGTAAATCTAACATTAAAGCGTTCTCCGGATGAAATAATAGTATACTACCTCGACATTCGTCTTGTTGAGAACTCTCGCTAGGCTGCTCTAGTGCTGCTGCATTACGCATTGCCCGCTACTTTTCGTAGTTTGAGCACTCTGGCGCTAAAGTGACGAGCTATCTTAAGTTAATGTCTGTGGTGCCTCCTTTGCAGCAGGGCTGGTAGCTCGGCCTATTTTAAGCTCGTAGCTGTACTGATGAGGCCTTTATGGCCAAAAACAGCTTGCTGTCAGTCTACAGCATTGGGTACTTTGAGATATAAAGTAACGACCCGCCTCACATACTCCCATACCATAGTGGCCGAGTGGTTAAAGGCGATTGACTTCAAACACTATAATTATACACCACTCATTTGACCTCGGATAAACAGTACATTGACCATAAAGTATAAAGTATGCAGCTTCCGTCCACAAAACATTCTATTGAAATGTGAATGAGTGCACACAGCTTTTCTGCATCCGCGGTGGTGGCGACCAAACGACATCATGCCCTTCTAAACCCGTTTTCGAACCTACACTGGGCACCTGAGATTCAAGGTTTCACACAGCTGGTGATAATCAGGACCTCAACCCCCTGACCAATATAATACAGGCTCACAAGGTGTATTATGTTTACCAAAGTCCTAAAAGAAAGAGAACACGCACTTCAGATTGCTGAACACCAACGTTTTGAAAACATCTCCCATGTAGCCTTTCTCCTCAGTATCCTCAGACAGTTCTCCTCAGTACGCGTATTGTAGTTCACCAGACTTATTCCAAGCACAGTGTTATTCATCTGGTGAGAATCATGATGTTGTATAGAGAACGCAGTGGTGGCCGAGTGGTTAAGGCGATTGACTAGAAATCAATTGGGCTCTGCCCGCACAGGTTCGAATCCTGTTCACTGCGAGGCTGTAACTTTTTTCATTTTTTTCATGTACTGTTTTCCTCTCGAATATGCTGCCATTACGTCTCACAACATTAGTGTCTACTGTATCACAATGACCATCTTCATGACCATCTTCAATGACCATCTTCAATGACCATCTTCATGACCATCTTCATGACCATCTTCAATGACCATCTTCATGGCCATCTTCAATGACCATCTTCATGACCATCTTCAATGACCATCTTCATGACCATCTTCTCCTGAAGATGGGCCTTGCCCGAAAATTCGAATTTAATAATGTCTTTTTCTTTTAGTGATTGGTGTAGCCCAGAGACCGTTTGGAGAGTGAAGATGTATGGATATAGTGGATGGCTACAGTGGAGTCTTCGCATTTTGAGAAATGTATCACAATGAGCACAGTAAATTACGATTGTGCTTTTGATATTCTCTTCAAGCTGCACTTCACAGCTACAATAAAGAATATCAAATTTGAGTCCTAAGCCATGGAAATGTTCGCCGGTGAAACATCATATGTTTGTCTTCACAAACACACAGGAGGCGAAGGTCTGTTTAGCTGTAACCTCAACTATCAAGCATGCCAGCGATCATTAGCCAGTGGTATTCATGACGATCGCTGGGATGCATGACACTTGACGTTACAGCTAAACAGACTCACTGATCAAAGAATTATGTAATCTTTCCTCTGCTGTCTTAAACCCTATTCTATTTTTATTTTTCTCTTTTAATCTTTTCCTTTTTCCTTATTATTTGTGTGCCTGTAGTCGATCTCATATAATAAGGCAACACTGGCAACACTGCTTGTTTGGTCTTCGACATTAAATAAACCAAACTAATCCAATCGAGACCTTTGCCTCAGTCGTGTATTGCTCCGCACATTTGTGCATTGAGCGCTCTCTGTGAGCTGCCTCGGCCGGCCCTATTTGTGAATCTGCACAAGTGGGCCAATGGTACACGATGAGCACAAAGATTCCAGTGGAGAACGTATGGACAATACTGTACTCGAACTTCTCAGCCTCGACTCGAGTTTCGTGTTACACTACACTACATGATACACTGAACATCTAATCAACGTCATAGTTCCAATTTGCTCTTTTTTAGTGGTGTTCACATCAGTTTGTCACGTGACTAACTTTGTGTAGAAAGTGATCAAGGCCTGTGAACAGTGGATCCAACATGGCCGACATCACGTGACCCATAGGTGCAGGAAATCAGTTGAGCTGTAACCGACAGGGTTACCCTGTGCGGGTATGTGGTACATGCACATGTAGATGCAAAACCACTCTTTGCTCTCGTGCATTAGGAACAGGTGCTGAGCAAGCCTAAGAAAAAGGTCACCACAGCTGGGGAGAACATGATTTTTGACAAGTGCTGCGTCTGCCACAAATGACAAATGCAAATTCACTTGAAGACTGCCTGCTGTGACGCCAGATTGATTTTGTACCACGTGACACAACTGCATTTGCAGAGAGCACAATCCACGCGGCATGGTGTGCATGGGAAATCAGATCTTACACAAAGAGACGTACACACACGAACAAACAAGCACTCACTCACACACAAACACACGCACCCACACCTAATCCCATTGCCCTTAGGACCCTGAAGATGCAATCTCATCCGCCAACATCACTTGGAACAGTTGGCAATGGAACACCGTGTATTGGATGGTTAAACAGGTGCAGCACTGTTGATCATGTAACAGTGTTGAAGAACTCTGGACGCTTCCATCCAGTCTCTCCCCTGTCCTATTGCCCTCACTGGAATCATGCTGCACACGTGTGGCAATTTTTCTCGAGACCTCTTCTGATTGAAGCTGATTCTCTCGTTGGTTTGCAGATTGAGACTAGAAACGCCTAGAAATACCCACAAGGAAGCATTGACAGGTGCCAAGGGTATCTATACGCGTGCTTGACTACTTCACAGTGTAAAAGCTGCTTTCCATCACGTATCGCATCTTGCCTTGGGTCGTAACAATACTAGTAGGTCAGGAGAAATCGTGGAGTTGAAGAACAACAGTGACAGTAGACTACAGTCCATTCATCGGAAACTGGCCCGCTGGCTTTTGAAAGTCGGATTTGGGCCGAATTGAGGATCAAAACCTACTTTAAATCTCAAAAATCTGGGTTTGGGATCTGCTTCTCCATACATTTTGCCATGGCATACCTGTCCTGATTTTGTAAAACCTGGCTGAATTTCTATTTCCCTGTTCTTGGACTTTTCTGGCCTCAAATGTGGCAAGGAGTAATTGCATAAGTCACACAATGCAGAATGTGCTGTTGTTTTCACGATATCTACAACTATGTGAGAGAGACACCAAAAAGTTAGGGTGCCAGTTTCCAATGAATGGACTGGAAATGCAACTGGTCTTCACGCATGGTACCAGCACGTATTAAAAACGACCTCACAGCTGCTGCATACTAGTAGTGTGGGCGCGTTGCTATGAAGCAGCAGGCGGCACAGAGTCGACTTCTTCGCATTATACCACTGAGTGGCTTGGGCGAGGGAAGAGAGGCATACCAGCAGCAAGCTTGAGTTTTCCAAATACGAACATATAATTGGCTTTTACACGCTCCTCCTGCAATCGGCAGTGATCAGTAATTGGCCAGGAGACAAGAGTGGGTGCTAGAACGCCACACCTAACATCTTCTCACGGTCGTATTTGGAAACACTATTCTGAAGATGGCTCAGCACCTGTGTGCGAGTATCTAGACATGGTGGCTCAATGCCGCAGGATAGACCTCACAAGCATCCAGTGTGGCCTTCAACACAAGCTTAAACACTTCCACGTGCGCTAGACCTCACAAGCAGTCAGTGTGGCCTTAAAGAAAAGCTTAAACACTTCCCCGTGCGCCTTCCGCTATCGGCATTAATCAGTGGCTGCTTGTGTAGCATCATTGTGACAGCTGGGAAACAATATTGGCATACTGACGGTAGTCACATTGTCAGCGATATGTCAGTGGGTTGAATGTGTAGCCCGTTGGCTTCTCGAGGGTATGTTAGTCTGAGCATTGCACTGATCTTTATCCAAGGCAGATTGCGCAATGGGAAAGCATTCCTATGATAGACACACCCAAACTGGACATGGATGCATCGACGCCGATTCCACGCGTAAGAATGCGACAGATATGTACAGCTAGGAAGCTAGGTTCCGAAGTCATTCGTCTTGTGAAATCTCACAGGCCAGGCAATGCAAGATTGCTGCATCCCGGGGCATCCCGGGGCTTCGGGGGAGGGGGAGGGTTTTTTTCAAATTTTGAACTGAGGCTCGAAATCGTGAATGTACCGGGCAGGTGACAGCTGGACTTGAATTCCACAGAGCTCGGAAAGTAGAATCCAACACCAGGTGGAGAAGCTAAGGTGTTACCATCCATTACTTGGAGCAGTTTTCAGATTACATCATCTGCGCATTGAACCATGAGGGTTGTGGCGATCCTACGGATGGGGAAAACTTGGCCCTCAGCCGAGTCTCAGGCGAACCGTGATTGTTTTCTTTCAGATCACCGACCTCTTGCATAGCTCTGGTGGAGCAGCGTCTACGATATGTGTAACCCCAGGAGGGAAGTGCGGTCACTACCAGTCCTGCAACTTGGAGGGAGATGAGAATGGAGGCTGCTGAAACAATTGACTGTGGTCACCAGAGCAACGCGCAAAGGGCCACCTCCTCCACATGAATGCACTTGCCGCGAGTTGACCCTCCTGTTCCTCAGTCCTCTTTTCTCGTTGTCCACAAAATCCAACTCAGCCAATAATTCAGATGATTTTGTATGAAACTTACTGCTCAACCCCAATAAGGGTCCCTTTACTTCGAATTTCTGGCGTTCAAATCAGTTTATATCACGCCGAAATATCCTGCCTTTACCAGTTACCCGACAAAGAGAAGCTGGTACATGGGCATTATTCATTTGATCCTCTTTCCCTGATTGAATAAGGGGGTAAGGAGAAGGATTCGATCCCGTACAGATTTAATCATCAACCACCAAACGGAAACTGGGCTCTCCGGTCTGGAGAGTACAGTTGCGGTGTGGTGTTTTTTATACAAAAGTCCACTATAATCCCGAATATGTGAGAGAAGTGGTGGCAAGGCCAGTCTGCTCTGGTGGTTGACGACAAGTTAATTTTCTCCTGGTATCAAACTAAATTACCTTTTCCAATTGTATTACGAATCTCAACACGTGAAAGTGCCACAAAAATGAGGAAATGCTTGCCACGTTTGTTCTAGAAACATTCGAATAGATGACAACCCCCCCCCTCCCCCCCCTCCCCCCCCTCCCCCCCCCCTGACACATGGCGACCGCAGATCTGAAAATATTAATTTTGGAAGTGCAAATGAAACAGTTATCATGAAGACAAAGGATGAACGATGAACTATCCCTGGCAGTGATCAGAGTCCTGTTCGTCCAAGAACCCGAAGTCACATGGTTATGGAGATGGAATGAATCACTGACACGTTCAAGTACATTGTGTCCATGTAAGGATAATTTCGCCACTGTTCGAAATAAGTGTACATGTACGCGTACTGAGTCAGGAATGACCACCGACTGCTGAGCCGCAATCATCATTAGTCAGCTGCTAGGCAGCAATACTAGTATTCATTGCGGAATGCCTGACTTCTGGCAATTCACCTACACCTACTGGTGCATTTCTTGGAAACGAGTACTTGAAATCTCGACCCTAAGTCTTCCAGCCTGGCAAGAGTGGTAATTGTTCCCTGATTGGAATCCATACCGTCTGACAAGTAGAACTGAGAGTCCATACACACTTTTAAGGTGTATTGGTGGGGAATACAGAATGTAGAACGAGCTGTGTACGCGCCATATCTATTGGACCTCTCTCTCTCTCTCTCTCTCTCTCTCTCTCTCTCTCTCTCTCTCTCTCTCTCTCTCTCTCTCTCTCTCTCTCTCTCTTCTCTCTCTCTCTCTCTCTCTCTCTCTCTCTCTCTCTCTCTCTCTCTCTATCTCCCTTGACGGTACTTGGTATTCATAAGCCATATCATCACATGCAATTTCTCATGTGAATTATAGCAACCTATGATATTATCCTACCTGCACTAGAACCGCGTGGATCCGCTCCATTCCTTGCACTCCAATAATTATTACAAAATATAGCATTTCTACATGTATCTCACCCGAAATTATCCTGACTATCCTGCTCGAATAAAGCCTTGTTGTGACCTCGCTTCGAGTGTGGCTGCATGTTTCTTGATGTACGACAACGTTCCTAACAAATTACACCGCATGGGCGTTGATTCACAGTGCAACGTAAACAATGGTCTATTAAATTTGTCGAAATTTTTCGATACACTGCTCCAGTTCGAAACTCTAAACACGTGATCACAATTTCTTTGCAACTCTGGGAACTGAGAACAACTGGTAACTCTCGACTCCAGCAGCACCCTTTTTCTAGCGGTCAATTTGGCACGTTTGTCGCAAGCCGGTGTTAGGAGAGGGGATGCTAGACTAACAGCAGGAGTTGGACACACACTGAAGCCAAACAATCCCAATAATAATAGAGCCCGCGCGAGAAATGAAAGCGAACTGTAGAAGCACAGCGCGCGGATTCATTAAACAGAGAGAATCGTGCAAGATTTCACCGTTCAACCGCTTCACATCGAATAAGAGTATAGACTCTGGGCGGTGGGATACTGTCAGTGCCCATTAGCATGAACAATAGTACACTGATAACACACTGGACGGTTTGATGGCTTGCATCTGCACGGCGTACTCGGCCACACCTAGTGCCAATACATTGAAAGGCATAAGGAATGCCTGGGCTAACATGTTGTGTACCCAGGACAATGTCACGGACCATAACCATAATCGATCTCAGGCTGCTCTCCGCAACCCTCATCTTCAGCGCGCTCTTCAGTTGCAAATCAATTCCCCGTCGATGTTATGTATTTAGTTTGGTCCCAGATGTGGTGTACACCAGCGGTATCTCCTCCAACTACTTTCACTCAATCTTGCTAATTTCGAATGCTTCCTAAGAGATGGAAAGGCCGTCGAGAGGCGATCCTCACGTCGACAATGTACAACATCTTGTACGGCTCTCTGAGTGTCAGCATACAAGGTGCGACAGTAAACAGCACTTCATTAGGGCTGCTCACTAGCAAAATGGCGACGACCCCGCACGCCACAGAGACCGAATATTTTAATGCGAAGTGAGTCCAAGTGTAATCCACTCTCACACCTTGGGGTCCTCACTAGCTTCACCCAGGCCTACACATCATGCAATCAAATTGCGTGAGAACATGAGCCGTTCCTGCGTCGACACTAACCGGGGTTCAACCATAACGCACCTTTAATCAACTTGTCTCGTGTTGTACTTTTTAGTATTTAGACAAATATAATCCAGTCAATTTTAAGGATGCTTATAAAAGAGAATGTACATGAATCTGCCATGAGCACAGTGCACATGTAAAGTAAAGGTAGCCGGATTCGCGGTCGCATCACCTGACGTGTTTAGGAACACATCAAGCAACATGCATAATTATAGAATGCTGTCTTTGGTGGTTGTCTCTTACCTTGTGCGTGCCGTTTGACCTTCAGATGGCTGGTCCGAATGCTACCCGAGCAGGTGTAGCGCTTTCTCCAGTGAGAGCATTGTGCTTCACTGCACTCTGCAGTGTCAGCGGATGGCATGGCGGATTGCCCTGTGGATGATGGGCCACCAGCGCGTCCCAGGCCCTCTGCCCATTGGCGAACATGACGGAGCAAGACCAGTTCGGGTGGCAGGCTTGGTCGGCGTGTTGCGGAGGTTGGGGCGGCCCAAACACACAGCACTACTGCCACACAGGAAAACCATAATCTTGACATTGTGTCTCTATTTGCTTTAGATTTGTCCTCCGCCTGTCACTCAGCTGTCACACAAGTGTGGGATGTGCCGTGCGAGGAGCAACTTTTATTCTAGGTCCTGCTGACCAAATTCCGGTGCTGCTTTTGATACTGCGCGACCACCGATAGTAGTCCTTGCCACAGAGAGTCAGAGTATTCGCATAATATGGATGACCGGCGGACGCCTTTTGGCAGTCTCAGTGCACAATATCGGTGCAAGCTTGCCTGTCAGCCTGTCTGCGGGCGACCAGCGTACTGCGGCCTGGATCGATGGGCGTTGCTCATGAGAGGGGTGCCCAGCGCTACCCAGCATAGGCAACTGCATAGATAGATCGGACGAGGACCCTGAGCACGGCGAAAGCAAAGAGGTGCGTACCTTTCAAGCAAGTAACTTTAGTTTCACGTAGCCACTCGCACTTCTGCAACATGACAAGGTCAGCAAGGAGGCCGCAGCTACAGGAATTCCTTGACAGCAGCAGCAGCAGCGTCGTGAAGCAAATTGTCGTTTCGTTTTGTCTACGCGAGAGTAAACCCATCGGGCCATTCGGGTCCGGTTTCGCCCATCACTTATCCCTCACCTACACTATGTAGTCCGTCAGAGTCACCTGATCATGTACCTACATCTATGCTATAGACCTTGCAAGCTAGCTACACGATCATGGGGAAATGGTTTACGTTGCTAGGCGACCAGAAGCCAGGCGCGAAAGGTCTGCATGTGTACAATGACTATGTGAGTACTGAGTGGGACTGCTCTGGCTGCTGTCTGTGATTTCGGACTACACATACACGCACGCACGCACACGCACATATGTACACACATACATACACACACACACACACACACACACACACACACACACACACACACACACACACACACACACACACACACACACACACCACAATGACAGTACGGTCATTGTGTGACAGGCGGATAATCCTCACTAGCTGTTCATCCGATCCTGTCGCTCACTTAGAAGTTAGTTGGAGCTGGGCATTTGTCGTTAGACAGTCACAACGACGTTATTCCCATGACGAGTTCACCAGGCGGGTAGCACAATACAGTGTTACCGTAATTGTGCCGGAACGGTCGTGGCCAAAGAATGGGATCTGTTCCGTTGTTTATCAGTCTGTGTGAGCGAGATAAGGGTTCCACTTCAACTCTAGACGGTCTACGGCCCTGACAATTCAATCCATGCTTGACCACGCTCAATGTCAGCATAAGTGCTGGCGTACGAAACACCTATCAGTGCTTTGTACTAAATTGTAGCCAGGGCATTCCACGTGCACGAATCCAGTGAGAACATCATGCATGGCTGGCTGAAAGTGCTACAGTGTGCGGTCCACTGTACAGTCTGAAAGTGCAATGTCCGGCGAGAATCACATCGTGAGAAGAGTACTCGTGTGTATTGTCTTCGCTCCTGGCATGAGAAAGAGCAAGGCGGTTGTTTAGAGGCAATGTCTCTCCTCACAAGGTGCATGTTCCAGTAGTAGTACCCAGGAAGTAGAAAGGTATCTGCATGCGCTTTAAAAAAAGTACACAATCATATTAGGAGGGTTCAGGACACGAGTTCGGATTTGTGCATGTGTGTATGAGTGATTACATTGTACTAACTGCCATTTGACGTGCATGCAGAAGTGCATGGGCTCTGCTTCCGCCTGCGTACTGCACTGCAGATCGACAACTGTTCATGGACCCCAGCAGACTGCTAACACAATCAACACTGAGAGAGCCACACTCCACTCACATCATGCAGGCCTTGAGAGTTGATGGCGCGCTCTCAGCGAGGCGTGGGGGGTCGCCATTGTACACTGTCCGAGATCGAGTTTCAGCACACCCTCTACACGCAGGATGATACTGGGTGAAGAAATGCAACACTACAACACGAAAACGTCAATTTAAAATTGTCTCAATCCTCTCCAAAACGTTCAGGAAGAATACCCTATACAATGGAGTGCAATACAAGTACATGCACCTGTAGTTCATTTTTCATTTCCACACGTCCACGTCAGCAGAGAGTGACACCCGGTTCTGACGAATACGTGCCCAGGCATGACGCCCTACATGAAAAGCACCTTTGTATTACTATTAGCCGTCGATCAGTGGCCATTTTGATATACACTGTACTCAGTAACTGGTAAATCATGTTGTTTGTTGACAGCATGTAACAAGGTTGTACCGGAGGACACCGTGTTCGGAAACAGTAACCTTACTAAAACCATCCCCAGTTGGTAGAGCCTACATGTACAGTTATGTACCCGTGGCTTTAGTGTGTTCAGCGATGTGGCCGTCTTCCATGTACCCATGGCTTTAGTGTGTTCAGCGATGTGGCCGTCTTCCATGTACCCGTGGCTTTAGTGTGTTCAGCGATGTGGCCGTCTTCCATGTACCCATGGCTTTAGTGTGTTCAGCGATGTGGCCGTCTTCCATGTACCCATGGCTTTAGTGTGTTCAGCGATGTGGCCGTCTTCCATGTACCCATGGCTTTAGTGTGTTCAGCGATGTGGCCGTCTTCCATGTACCCATGGCTTTAGTGTGTTCAGCGATGTGGCCGTCTGCCTATGCACCCGTGGCTTTAATGTGTTCAGCGATGTGGCCGTTTGCCTATGCATCCGTACAATATGAAGGTTTTTTCCTACAAAATCCACATATCTCCAGACACTGGGGTGAATAATGGAGTGTGGTGGTGGGGCCCATTAAGTCAGTGTAACAATGCTAGATCCTTGGGTACTAGTATCCCTTTACAGTACTTGTGCTAAGCTAGTCTTGTACTGTACTTTCTCACTGCCAACACTGGTCACGTGGGTCTCCCCCGGGATAGGGGAGTGTCTCTCCTTGACAGACAGTGATAAAGACATTCACTTATACGCAATACAGTCAACTTCGCTAATAACGACTGCGGATATAACGACAATTCGCGAATAACGACAGAATTTCCATGCCCAGAGCAAAGTCACATCCAACTGTAATGTACATGCATATACTGGGACTTCGGGTATAACGACAATCGTAGAAAATCTGAGAACATAATAACATGTCCACCAGTCTATGCAGACGGGCGCGGCAATGAACCTCACCAGGGGATAAGCCCAGACCGCAGTAAGGACTACAGGTACATGATTGCAAAGTAAACTATCGCTCAGAAATTGAACAGTTCGTTAAATCGTCAGCAGCGCCCATAATACAAATTTTTCAAACATCTCGTCTTTGTTGACGTTTTCTCCATGAGTTAACCATGGAAACTGTGTTGTTGCGGCGTGTGTTACTCTGAGAGTATTGCCTTGATGTAAAGTCGTCCACTGGACAGATAGATCACATCAAGGAGACCACGTCCACGAATCCTACAGGTACGTGTAGAATAATTATCATCGTCCCCACAGCTCTGCTCTCTCTTCTGCCGAGGTACTAGATCAAACAGATCCGTCTCATGTACATATATATAATGACTGTATGCTTCCAAACTCCAAAGCAACAAATCAGGCAGCAAGACCTCCGTCGTTAAAACAACTCCGTCTTTCAAGAGCTTAATGTACATGTACATAGCACAACTGACTGGCTCGGGCAATCGACTCACCATGATCAGCCATGCATGATGATGCTCCTCTCAGTCACAACTCCTGTAATTGTTCATAGTCACATAGTTTCTCCCGCACACTCGCTGGTGTTAACCCTTCCTTTCTTTTCACTTTGCTGACTCGTACAGCTCTACACTTTGTTTTTTGGTGCCTGTTTCTGGCCGTGATGCCGAGAACTCAGGTCGGCAGAGCCAACCATGCCCCACCATCACTGCTGCGTCTCGGTGCAGCCCCTGCTCAATAGTTGTCACGTTTGTCCTAGTCTCAGTACCATTGTCTTTCTTTATTATTCTCGGGCTGGGAATGTGAACATAGTAAAGAACAAAAACAAAGACTGACGCCTATTACATTCATTTTTATTTTTTATTTTTATTGGGAACACAGCCCTACAAAGAGACATGTGGAGACAAACACAAAACAAGACACAGGGGATGTAGGGACGACGTGCCGATGTACAGGGAGCAACTCGACCGACCAGGGGTCTCCGCGTTAGCGTTGCAACCTGGCATCGAAAAAAGGGGGGAGGGGGTTGCATGGTCAAGTAGCAAAAATAATAATTTGGTGCGAGAAAGGGGCGCTAGTATTGCACCAAATAATATAAATACGTGTAATGACTAAACCAGAAGGAAAAAAGAAGAAAGAGAACAATAATCATAACAAGCAAGTACTAGTAGAGAGGTAACATGTATGTAATGCTGTAGCACGTCCTTTGTTCACACTTTTAATTATGCAGTTATATTTTATGTTCTTTTCGTATACCTTACCCTCAGCTCCGATACTATTCACTGAAGAGCGGAACGCGAAAATCGAACTATAGTAGAATTCTTAAAATTCTTAAACTCGTTGTTGTCTGGCCATGTCTGCATTTCTTATTTTCTTTATTGCACTTATAAAAAATAAAAAGAAGATGTTCATGAAGATCAAGTGCTCCGGTTTCGGTCTGGCTTCTAGTCCAGAGGAGACCGACCAGGAAATTCTCTTTTCCGAACAAATGAAGACTAATCCTGCAGCTCGAACTACGACACCGACACTTGCCATAGCAACGACCGCATCAAGTTGCTTAGCCTCCAAACATTCTACGTAACGACGGATTTCCAGCGCGCCAAACAACAAAGACAGAACACAAATAACTAAACGTCTCCATAGCCACGATCAATACACAAAAGGAGCTGAGAGAACCATGTAAAGATGCTTGTTGGACTCGAAGGCTCACGTTAAGGTGAATCTCAGCCAATTGTGATCACTGGAAACTTTTTCTGTTCTCCCAACTGGCAACCTCGCACAAGGGCCGCACCCGGACCCACATGTAGTGGAGACATTGCACTCATACCTACATGCACATGCACACCTACATAGTAATGGCTAGCCCTTCCCCAAAGATGCCAAAATAATTGTGAAACCAGTGAAAGTTGCTGAAATCACATACAGTCATATTTTTTAAGAAAAAGCTCAAAAGCTGCGGATAACGCAACTCAAGTTGAGCGACTTCTTGTGCATACAATGATGCCAAAAGCAATTTTAAAAGCAAAAGATCAGCGGAAATAGACAACACTGTACTGTGACGCAGCACAACTGCCTGAGTATAGTCATGCGTACTTTGAAGTACATGTACATGTACATGTACAATCATGGTATTACATGTATATAACCCAATACTACTTCAATACTAAAATTAGATAAACCTTGTTATTGTTCACACATGTTGTTAGTTTGACAGCATGAAACAAGGAGCGATCAAAGAAAACACGATTGACGCAAGGAGAAGTCTAAAAACTCCCCTAGCATAATGAGGGTCAGGACCGGGATCAACACCCATATGGTTCAGATGGTCCCGACGGACCGGGGCTCTGCTAACCGTGGATGGTTGTAGTAAGGTCACTGTTTGCGAACACAGTGTCCTCCACCTTGTTTCATGCTGTCAAACTAACAACATGTGCAATCATGTACGTGTGCATATCTCCAAATTGCGACGTGAGGTGCAGGTCACTCACGTTGTTTTTCGACGCGCGAGCCAAATTTAAGGCCGGCAGAGCAGCCTGGCCCCGCCATCACTCCTCACACATATTCGGGAATATAGTGGACTTGTGTAGTGGACTTTCGTATAAAATAAAATAAACCGCGAGCTGAACGTTCGCGTCACGTCAGAAATAACGGGCATCTTTAATTAGAAATAATCTACGTGGAGATAATAATTTTAATATAGCTGTGAATAAGATTAACTTCAGTTTCTTTGGTTGTATCCTTTAGTTCTGTGTTTCTTCCTAATGATGATAGGAACGAGAAAATCGATTCTGGGTTTCAATAATATTTTTGTTATAAAGTACACAGTCACACATGTCGAACAAATAATGTAGTTGCGTGATGTCTGCGTGCGACCTTCATCTTATTCATAGCTATATAGAGAGGTTATAACCTCTAAAAGTATTATCACAGAGGGAGGAATTTTAAAACTATGTGCAGTGTTATGCCCCAGGGGCTGCTGTGGCTGTCAACATCGGCGGGTCGTGGGGTGACTTTGCAGGCCTTCATTGCGCTTGGACAAGTGCAATACACAGACTCTCACTAGCTACACAGTACAGTACACTGATTCTGGCTTATTATTTCTGCATTGATAGTCATAGTGATTGATTTTCCGCGCAGAATTTCTGACACTGCATGCACGTCCCATGCGCGTCAACAGTACTTCACACTTTCCTTTTCCCGCATTATCACGTCAGCTATGCCAGTTTTGTATGCATGTGGAAACATTATAATAGCAGTTTGGTCTATGCACGTATTTCTAATCATTCAACATCTACCTTCACTGATGAGCTATGCATTAGCGAAGCAGCTGTCTGAAGGAATATCGTCTACGGAAGTGTCCTTGCAGTGGTGATGGTTGTGTGCGGTAGGGTCTAGTCGAGTCGGCTAAGGAGCGCAGTGTAAAGTGTAATGGCCGGAGGTGACTCAACATTTACGTGACTCACATGTACATGGTAATCTCAGCACCTAACCATGTCCTTGCGCCTGCGATGAGGCGGCCGTGCACCATTACACTTCACTGAGCACACACACTGTGACACAGGGTGAACAGGAAACCAAGCGATGTCCGTCTCAAGTCTCCCCCTCAAGCAACCCACCGGCCGTACACACTAGGACAGTAGAAGTATACAGTCATGTACATGGCTTTGTACTAACACTTACTGTGGCTTAGTTGTACTGTTGTTCCAACGCGTGTTCCACCCGTGACGATCGAACCTGCCCAATAATGTGTGAACACTGACTGCCAACTCTTAAGAACGCGAGCAGCCCGCAATGACCTGCTGCACATACCAAGAAGTCACTAAGAGAGAGCACTAAGAGCGTCCAAGCATCCAAAGACAAGTTAGTTTCAAACTATTACTACATGATTGTATAGTGTTATTCGCTCACTGCCCATACTCTACGCGACTGGGAAAGTCCATACCAAGCCACCCAGCACGCAGTGTATGCATCTATTCCCAGTGTACAGTGACTATGCACACGTGCATGTACAATACAGTGTGATTATAATATTCGCAGGATCCGCGTTAGCATCACTTGAATGTTCAGAAACACGCAAGCTATAGCCTTCGCTTCCGCAGGCCACCACTATGCCTTTACACCTTTAAAATAGTGGCGAATGCATACCTCACAAGTGAGTCAGGGGAGAGAAGGTGAGTCTCTCAACCAATCGGGCGTGTAACGGCCCATAACCCTGTAAACTGCATCCTTTCCAGTGTGAACATACCAATGTTTTGCACCACTGTGTCTTGTGAACCAGTTCTTGCTATACAGTCAACTTCGCTTATAACGACACTCGGCGGGGCATCAGAAAAGTGTCCTTATTCGCGAAGTGTCGTTATACCCGAAGTCTCATTACATGTATACAGGTAGTATGGACTTTGCTCTGGGCATGGAAATTCTGTCGTGATTCGCGAATTGTCGTTATATCCGCAGTCGTTATAAGCGAAGTTGACTGTACATGTACGTATACATGGTGTACGTGTGCTGGAAAAGACACTACGCTCATACTGCCATAGGCTACAGTGTAGAATAGGCTTCAGGGGCGCACGGGGTAATCGTCTTCGTGGCCCAGATATTGCTTGTGGTTTTACGACAAGAGCGCTTTGCCCTATATTGCTATAACCTAGCTGACACATTGTCCTGCAGAATGATGTAACTATTCAGTGCCAGCCGTACACACTATTCTAGACTGAGGCTCGAACCCGCTTGTACCGCCACAGCGAATTATTGTGTTTGCTGATCGGTAGGAATATCGCACGAGTAGCTAACAGCCTGCCTAGAACATAGGTTACTGGATAGGGGATCCTGATCAACGCGAGGTCTCGTCGAGTTGCGGTCTTCTCCCGCAGCCGTGATCCTGTTTGGTGGTAACTTACTTCCTGTGCAGGTGGCTCAAGTGTATTCAGTTCTCAGTTCCCAGGTCCACTTCTGCGGGTGTCCACTCAGCCCCCCCCCCTCCCAACCTGGTAAGGATACAATGTTTTATTAACAATCGTATTAGTATGAATCACTGCTTGGCAGTATAAGTAATGTGTCACAAGCTATACAGCGGAGGTCCGCTCTAGTTCTTCCTTGCATACCTTCCGTAATTCTGTTCTTCATTTTTTAGGGTACCCTGTCAAAAGGCCTTAGGCCTGTGGGGATTGCCCTATCAAAAATTTAACAATAATAATAATGTTGCAGAAAGTTCTTGCACAACGTGCTCAATGCTACGATAGCAGAGCCAAAAACACGAATTAGCAATGGACCTAGGCTCAACTATAATAATATTATGTAAGTTGTTGTCTGAAGATTGGCGGATAGCCATGAAACTCCTAGTTACAGCTTAATTCAGCCTGGTACCGTTGCTAACTTGTGTAAGAAATTTGTCACTTACTTCGAAGTTCCAAGTACATGCACAGTGCTGGCAACTGAAATCCGACCCTCTTCTGGGCGGCGCGGCGCGCCGCCCAGAAGAGGGTCGGATTTCAGTTGCCAGCACTGTACATGACATGTACAGTGAAACCTGTCTAAGATGGCCGCTCAAGGAACCTTCAAAACCTGGTGGTCTCTCTATCCAGGGTCATTTGACTGGACATAGCATTCCTTGGTCCTGGCTGCAGTGGTCTTCTAGGACAGGTGGTCGCCTTATCCGAGTGGTCGCATTGACAGGTTTTACCGTCCTTGTGTTCTGAGGTTGCCACCATTGTGATGCTATTAGAGAGGTTGTTTCACGTAAAAGTCTTACGTCCGTGAGATTTTACGTCAAAAGTGAAAAAACTCACGTAAAATTTGACGTGTTTTACGTGAGTTGACTGTCCCGCACGTAAGTTCATGACGTGAGTTTTTGGTAGTTTCGCTTGGTTATTCCGACCAAATTTGTGTGAGTTTCCGGAATTTTATCGAGTTTGTTGGAAGATTTCATATTTGTGCGAACTAAACCCGAATCCTGCCAGGCAAAATTTCACGTCACGTCGCACGTGTAACTTAACCTCTAAAAATTACACGTAACGTGAGATTTGCACCGCGTTTTGAAAAAGGGCAAAAAAACGTGTAACTTAACCTCTCTAGTATCCATACATTTCCCGTGGTTCTACATGATTGTACAAGACGTTGCTTGTGCATGTACATGTACATGTATTTAACCTGATGAAAATGCACTAAAATGGGTCCGTGAAATGTTTTGAGTCCTTGCCTTGAGTCCTGAGTCCTGATTATGGTGGCACGGCGAGTATAAAACTTGTACTCTTTCTTGCGGTGATTAGTCATAAACTGTAACGATATCTGTCTTCCTAGAAAGCTCACGGTGTTTCTCGCAGGTTTTTTTTTTAATAAGAAGTACCCAATGCGTCATGACATGGAACCATTATGAAGATATTTGTTGTGCGATCGGCTTAGGCGAACACTCTGAACTGTGCCGATAAAACATGAAAGCTTGGTCGAAAGGGCTTGCCCTGAGACGTACACTGTGTTACAATTAATGGCTGGGCATCGCCCTCATCTCAGGTGTTGATCCCCATAGGATAGGGCAAGTCCTTGAGAAACCTCAGGGTTTAGGAGGCCGGTCAGCCAGATACTGTACGTTTGTTTTTTGTTTATTTTATTTTACTTCACCAAGTGAACAGGCATTTCTGCCTTCTCACCAGGTCCGGAGACCAAGTTCCAACAAAATGATGAAGAGTAAAATGAAAATGCATGTTATATAATGATCAAAATCATGCAGAAGGTTATAATAATGAAAACGTCTCTCTGCTTTCTTCTTCTTTCTCCACAGCCTTGGGTGACCAGATAAGGACAGTCTTGTACAGGTCACAGGCACAGCTGTAGTTCGCACTGGTGCCTCCACCCCAGTCAAGCTGAGTAGCTTGAGGACCACTACAAGGACATGACATACACTGTGTGTCTCGTTTCCATGACATTGAAGTAACCAATAGCAACGAGGCATCCTTGGCGCGCACGCACTTCTGCATGAGACGGTCCACGGATTGGATCAGGCGAGTTAGGCAGTAAACCAGCAGAAATCTGCAGGGGCAACCTGCTGCGCATCTGAACGCGTCCCTCCAAGAATGATCTGTTGTAGATGACTTGCAATACCTCAACCATGGAATTGACGGTGGAAAAGGCTGAAGCAAGGTACGCATCATCACGCAATTCAGTCAGACTGCTGGCATTCATCTGCCTTCTACTACTCGGTCTTGTTCTCTATCCGCCATTGCATTGCATCACCATCACCAAGGGATCACTCCACTTGGCAGCTAACGCCAACTCAGACCTCGGACTGCTGATTCCGAATTACGAAGCGAAACCCGGCCGCTTTCTATACCTGGTCACGAGCGCGGGAGATCCTGGTGCGTCGTGGATTGCACTCACACAACAGCCTGGCGTGTATGCTATCTTTGCTACGTGGAAGCATCGAGTCGGTCCGAACATGACGTCATCAAGACTGGAAGCGTTCTACTTTCCCAACTCGACGTGGACGGGCAGCAGAAATTTTCTTTTCTCCAAGGTGGCCGGATTCGAGCGGCGCATCATGAAGCGCATGCACTTCATAGTGTTCGCCGATGATGACCTTGCTCTGGTTTCGCGCAGCATTTACAACCCCCGCTTCCATGTTGCCGACACGTTGGCCGCCACTCTGCAGCTACACGACCTGCTGATGCGGGACCGACCCGCTCGGGCCGGCGTCGAGTATGCCGGTACCTGGGAGAACCCGATCCGCCTGTACTCGACGGATTGCGTGCGGAGCTGCGCTCTGGACGGAGTGCTGGACGTCTATCACCGCTCAATCGTCGAGTATTTGCTGCCCTATGAAGATGCGTGGGATTCCTCCAGCTGGCACCTATCCCAGTTTATCATGAATCTCCGCAGTCAGTCTCTGCTGCCGAACGGATGCAATCTCTACCGGGAAATCTTCATCGACACAGGTGCAAACCGGCACGGAACTTATCCCACGGACAACAGTCTACTCCATCGCGTGGCGGAAACAGTTACGGAATGTTTGGTCGCCAGCGGATTCCAGCTGGCCCGCGGAGCATCTCACATTTCCCACGCGGAAGCCGTGAAGCGTGCTCTGGGGCGGCCCAAACCAGGCCACCCTGCGGTAGGGTGCGCAGCTCAGCCTGTGGATGTCAACTACGCGTCTAGGCTGGCCAAAGATCTGCGTCTCTGGCCAAGGAGCTGCTCTGGCTGACCGGCTGCAGGCCAGCCAGAATTATGCACGCATGTCATTTGTAAATGCGTGAGGAGCCGTGAGGAGGAGCTTGAGGATACATGGCCTTGAGGATGAGCGTGAGGATGAAATAACTTGTCATTGCTTTGTAAGATAATAATTAAATTTTGTCCATTGTACAGCCTCTGCTGCTCAATGAAATCCTACTGCGTAAATCAA